ACTAAAATTAGATCTCAATGGGCCTCAAAGGGTAATGAGACAGGAGAAAAAAATTTTTACCTCTTTACCTCTGTATATAAAAGTGCAATATGCAAATAAAAATTAATGTCTGATGTGGAGTGAACTTTGACATATCACTTTGTGAAAAGGAAGTTTTGGCCAAGCTTAAGTAGTTGTGTTTGAATTTACTTGCATTCCTTCAAATTCAGGGGAAAAAAAATTAAAATTTAAACTTTTAGGTGTTTGCATGCCCTTCTAAGGTATGTGTATAATTGTGTGCATTTAGATGGTATGTATGTACTGGTATAAATTTAGCAGAACTTTATTTATCTGTATCTTATATATAGTGCTAATAATGAACAAAAAAAAAACAGTTTGTAAAGCATTTTAACTACTTCCCCACCTTAGTTCAGTGGCAAATAATTAGTATAATAATGGAATGTAGGGGCTAACCATACTCTTGTTTTAGTATAGGTTGTAGCTGGTCATGTATTAAATTCAAGCCCCTGACGATTCTCTGATTTTTTTTCCAAATATAAACTGGGAGATGTGAATTAGACCTTGGACACTGGAACTCTTAATCTTACTATCCTGTGGATATAATGCCCTTAGTCTCAAGTGGTATTTTGGTGTTTCCTACTGGATGATGTCAAAATTACCGACTCCATCATGAAATTTTCCATGGTACTGTCAAGGAAAATTTGTTTGAAAGTCAGGAGTTGATCCCTTAACTGGTGATCATTTCCTTTCTTCTCATGTCCTTTACATTTGATTCTAGAAATTGATTCTGTAGGGAGAAATTAGAAGGCAGTCACTCTTAGAGGGCAAATCAGGTGTAGAATTTGTTATAACCCATTAATCATTGTGTGGCAGAACTGATTGTTATGTACTACATCATTCTTGTACTTTTTCACCAAAGGCATATCGTGATTATGTGGAAATGCACCCCCATGTATATTATCATAGACTGCAATGATGTTTACCCATGAACATCAAATTCATTCAAAATGAAATATGTTCATTAATGTTTTGTGATTTTATGCAAGGTTTTTGTATAAGATTCTCGCTAGCTATTTATACACCTAGCTAAATATAATAATATAATAAAAAGGTAAGAATTTGTTAGAAACTAATTATTTTATTGAAATGTTTTTACAGGTACACAAGCTTCCAGTGGAGGTGCGATAAACTTTTTTGTTATATTATGTCATGAATAGGGTAGTTCTTGCTCTTTGGGGAGCATGGCTGGTGTATGTATAGCCTATAAAATATAGTAATTGCTTTTCTTTTTATTTTCTTGTTCAAAAACATGCACATATTAAGAAAATTATTATGTTTCTTCCTCTGAGTTAGCTGGTGAGATTGTTTAGAATTTAGGGAAAAGGTGACATCAAGTCTATGTGTAAGTATTGGTTAGCTTTATCTATCTGGGTGAGCACCTGGTGTGCATATGCTAATTATTTGATAACCCACTTTAAAAACTGAATTTTACTTGTTTTTCATAAATGCTTCATTAGGTTGTTCCCCACCCGACTTTGGTATGGCAAGAGGTATTATTCCAAACAAGGATATCACAGCATCATCAGCACAGAATTCTGATTCACTTCCTCACCATGCACGGTTCAGCAACAGCAAAGCATGGGTTCCTGATAGAAATGATAGAAATCCATGGATACAAGTGAATTTACAGTATTCAAGAAATATCACTGCAATTGCTACACAAGGTTTTTCTGGCTCCTATGTAACCCGCTATTATGTGAGTTTCAGTTCTGATGGAAACAACTGGAACAACTATACAGAGCAGGGAAAAGTTAGGGTAAAATGAATAGAATTCATTTCATAACTGCACACATATATGCATACCTGGTTATTTGATTTCTTCCATTTGTAGTAGGCTGGTGAGTTTCTTCTATTTATAGTGGGTTGGTAAGGGGGGGAGGGTGGGGGTGGTGTTGGTTAGGGAATGGTAATATTTATTATTTAACAAACCTGTACATGGCTGGTATTGAGGTTTTAGGCAATTAAGGTTCATTAACTACTTATCTTTGTCATAGATAATAGGTAACTTGGCAATTATAAGGAAGTAATAATTATTTTTTTATTGATCTTTTGTTTCAGGTGTTTCAAGCCAATGTAAATGATGATAAAATCAAAACAGTCCTTTTCAAACCTTCTCATGTAGCACAGTACATAAGATTATACCCGACAAACTGCTCCAACACTTGTGCCCTCAGATTTGAGCTTTATGGGTGCAATTCAACCACAGGTAAGGGACAATTTTGCAAACTCTCTTGGTCAAGGACATCAGTATCTACATGTATTAATGGTCTTAAATTAAAAGGGGAATGAAGGGAAGGTTTGCATCTCTTTGAATTACCAGTATGATTTGCTTTGCTTTCATTTTTTACCTCTTTTTAAGTGCATGCTGTGACAATTTAAAATCATGGTTATTACACATTGTGTGTCAATAAAAGATGGCACAAACGGGTAGTTTAACACAGCAAACAGGTAATAATTTTGACTGCATGGAGAGCATCTTGTTCTCATGCAGGGAACATGGCCTTATACCACTGAGAGACTTTTGCAGTTGAGCTTCACTGCATTTTAAGGTCTTTTTCAATCTGCATAGCTTTGTTGCTCCTCAAAGTCATTCTATTTGAACAAGTTTTACAGAAAATTAGATTTAGGAGCGCAAGGACTTTTATGTAAAGGCCAAAAGTGGGTAGCCAGCACATTTCAAGCAAGGAAATCTACCCTGAGGCTGATTATCTGACTGTTATTGAGACCCCTATTGCAAACAATTAACCCATTAATAGCCACAGCTTTTGTGAAAAACTGTGTTTAGAAGCTAGTTGAGCAGATTTTGGGTCACTGTTGTGATTTTAAAAGCTCAAACTTTAAGCACAAACCCATTGACAGCTTGTACACTCGACGGCCTTTCGATCCAAATGCAAAATGGCGGCCTTAAAATCTCGGGCATGCACAGAAAGCAAAATTTCGAGTTTTTGGGTTGAAAAGTAATGCCCCACTTACGACGTTTACTTTTCTCTCTTTCTCCTGCCCTTTTTTTCCCCTTTCCTTGCCTGAAGTTTCTCCTCACTTGCTGGAAATTTAGTAGGCTTCATTTTCGTGTAGAGATTTTTAAGGAAACTACTCATTATTTTCAAACAACATGCTCAGAAGGTAGGTGGGTAATGGAACAATATTTTCGCGCAGATTTTCAGGTCAAAGTTACATGGTTTTTTGGCTATTTCTCCAATCTCCTTCACTCAGTTGCGCTCATTCTGGTATCATTTGTAAGATATTTTCAACCTGTTCAAGTACGTGCTCAAAGTTGTGCTCCAGGGTTAAAAGTGATGACGTCACAAGGCGTAAAAAGGGTGTGGGTCCACATGGGCGCTTATGGGCGCACTAGATGTAAGTAGGTTAATGATTTATGTGAAATGTCTATTTCTATTTGTTTACTTTTTAGGCTTGCCTGGCCAGCCAAACTCACTCTCTTCAGATTCTGTTTTATCAAACAAAATTGTCATCTCATGGAGTGAACCTACTGATCTAGGGAATGGAATAACAGGGTATGTTGTTAGGTGGCAGAGTGCTGAAAAAGCTGATTATCAAGAAAAAGTAGTTACAGGGAGCAGATCTGCGACACTTGATAACCTAACACCCTACACTTGGTATGACATCCAAGTGAGAGCAGAAAATGATAAGGGACGTGGCCCTTGGTCAGTCTCACTGCAAGAGAGAACACAAGAGTCCTGTGAGTACTGACATTAATTTCTATAACAAGGTGACTGCACACCTTACTGAACCAGTTCCCTCCAAACATCCTAGTTAAGCAGTTCCCCTTACTTAATCTGCCATCCAGTTCTTGTGATGTTAGCTCAGAGATTTGATATGGGATCAGCTAAATAATCCCATAATTAGGCACACAACCGTTCTTCAAAGTTATGTACAAAGTACAGTAGCAGACTGAGAGGGGTCTTGTCTAGAAGTTAGTCTTTTTGATTTATGTAACTTTCTAGATGTGGACATTGTGTTTTCCACAAGACTTTGTACTTGTGAACTCAGAGACCTTATGAGCACTGTGCATCCTCTACAAATGTATAATTGTATGTTTCCACATTAAAAAATGCTGTCAATACATAATTGTAGAGTGTACTTGTATTGTGTGACATCAAGACAGTATCTTATATACACATCAACAAATAGGCAAGACGTATCATGGAAAGTGCATGTTTGTTATACAAGTACTGCAATCTTGATGTAAGAGTTGTTTTTGTGCAGTAGTATTTCATATCACATTCACCACATGCATGGCTTTTGTAAAATGTTTTGACCTGAATACCATGTTTCCTCTAATAAGTGTTCTTTATGAGCTCCCACTCACTAGTTCATAATGTCAAACGAGTGCCTATATCAAACAAGTTCCCCTCCTTTTCTCTCACTCTCTTAAAGAATAGGGATAAAAGAAAAACCTGTTTTCATCACCACTTTATTTATAACTTTTAAAGCTTCAATTACAGTAGAACCAGTACAGGAGAATAATGAGTGCCCCCCCCCCCTCCTCTTGATTACGGGCCGTCCTTTCAATTAGCATCCCTCTTTTCAGTTAAAATGTTAAATAAGCATTCATATATGCTTATTCAAGGAAATCTGGTAAGTTTCTTCCCACTTATTTCTACTCTGAAACCATTAATTAGTGTGCATTAACTCAAGATGATATTGTTTCTTTTCCTTTTTTTAAGGTGACAGTTGGTAACATTTGCACTTGTTTGTTTATTTTTAAAGTTCCTTCTGCTGCTCCTGGGAACTTTCGAGTCACTTCCAATGCTTCTCTCGTCTTGGACATAACTTGGGATGCCATTCCTACAGAAAAACAAAATGGGAAGCTGCTAGGTTACCATATTTACTACAAGGTAAATGGATCTGCAGTAGAGTATAACAAAACTGTTGGACCAGATAAGCTGGTATATCAACTAACAGGACTTGAGTTTACAACCTATGTTGTTCGAATAGCTGGGTACACCGTTGTTGGTGTTGGTTTGTCTACTGGATCTGTGAGGAAACAACCAAAAGGAGGCGGTAAGGGAGCTATTTCTTACAAGTTTGTGAATAAAACATAATACTTATGGTGATTCCTCAGTATTGCATTGCGCTTCCTCTAGTGAGCGTAAAAATCACGTAATCAGGTGAATGAGCGCTTCCATTCCGAGAACTCGGTATTGTTTTTCAATCAATAGACCCGGTAAAAAGGTACAATGGTCTTTAGCTCTTCGACCAGGACGGTGACCTATCTTTTTTGTTACTAAAATTTCGATGTACAAATTATCCCATTTAAATTGGAGAAATTAAAAAAAAAAAGATATTGCTAAAGGTGTGTACAAAGCCCGTTACTGGACGAGGCAAATTATGACCTTGAAAGCAACGACTCGAGGAACGTTTCGAGTCGATGTCGTGTAAAATTGCGTTATTTTTCCACAAATTACACATCAAATTGTTCCATGCGCTCGGTACTTTCTACCCATCATTTTTTTTTTCAAGTGTTTAAAAACCTTTGCTTCTAGCTACCGCAAAATGTACAGTGAACCGATGAAATGACGCGCGTGATTAGTGCCAGTACAGGCATTAATGGGGTAAGAGTGGCCCATCATATCTCTTGAACAAGCACGGTGACCTGTCTTTTTTACTGTATTTTTCGAGACAGACATTGACAAGGGAACATTTAGGGAAAGTTTAAAATTTTTTTCAATAGTTTTTTTTTTTCTAGGGAATCACCTTAAAAAGTGTTTTTATTGGTTACTTTATCTGTAAAATTTACTTGACTATGATTATTTTTTTTTTATTATTATTATTTTCTTGAGATTTGAAACCAGTTTGATTTATCAAATCTGCTCTTAAACTAAAAAAAAAAAAAACACTTTGATATGAACGTAAAGTATACATACATATACCGTGATATATGTCAAGCATACTTTTGTTCTTTAAGCTGGGATACTTGCAGTATTTAAATAACTACTTATAGGGAATATTGTGTTTGACGTGTTTTAGCTCCGACAGCTCCCAGAAACCTTAAGTTGACTGTTAAGTGATCCACCTCGATAAAGGCGTCGTGGACTAAGCCTCTGAAGTTTAATGGTGTCTTTGAACGTTATGTGGTGATGTACGGCTTATCAAAAGACGGCTTGAATAAATGGTTTTCTTCACAAACCACTGAGTACTCGCTGACCGGGCTGGATGAGTTCACTACTTATTATGTTCAAGTGCACGCTGAAACATCTGTAACCGGGCCTTCTTCCGACATTATCACGGCAAGGACAAATGAGGATGGTTAGTGCACTACATTAACGTTATTGTTTTTTTGTTTTTTTTTTTCGCTTTGTTTGTTTTGTTCTTGTTTTTTGTTTCTTTTGCTTTTTTGGGTTTTTCCTTCGTCAGTGGTTGCCGGAGGCAGCTACATAACTAACAAGTACCACCATTATTTTCAATGTTTCCGTCACTTAATGTTATGGGTGTTTATTGCTTTTGGTCATCAAATGTGATCTCCTCGGATGATTTACTGAGTGTAAATAATGAGTTCATGGCCATTTACTATTTGTCTTTGAGAATGGTGACATACTAACAATACGTCATGGTTCATATCGCTTATCGATTTTCTTAGATTCAACATATAAGTTAGGTAAAGATGGTAGCTGACATAGATCTTTTAATTCTATTTTTGACTTACAATTAAAGCTCCCAGCTCTGCTCCAATCATTGATAGAAAAGAAACAAAAGCCGAGGATGCGCACACCATAAGAGTCAAGTGGAATGAAATTGTAAAGGTGGATCAAAACGGCTTTATATTGGGTTATGAGGTTCTATACCGAGAAAAAGGCCAACAAAACAGTTTTAGGTTGAACACAACAACGACAGACACCATAATTAGGGGCTTGAAACCATATACGGAATACTGCATCCAACTTCAAGGGTTCACAAAAGCTGGAAAGTCACAATTCAGCCCCTGCGTTTATGTAGAAACATTGGAGAAAGGTATGCCACCTTTAAATTAACTTTGATATATCATCATTCTTGAATTAAGGAGGTTGTTAATTAGCAAAACAAAAACAACGAAATCCACGGTAAAATAGCTAAACAGTTGAATGAGACGTAAATCAGTGTCAACAACATTCAACTTCTGAAGAAAACGTTTGTTTCTGCTTTTCAATGCAATGTTTTTCTTGAGGTGCAGAATAGTAATTTTATAGGCACAGGGAAGTCTCTAAATAGAAATGGCCAAAACTCTGCTGGTGTTTTTTTGGTATGTTACCCCTGCGTTCTCTCCCCCGCCCCCTCCCTATCCTAAGCTACACCCTTGAAGAAAGAGAGCTGTGAATAATTTGAGGCACTTCAAACTGCACTTTGTTATGATTGGACCACTCACACGTGTACAAATCCTGTGCTGTTAATTTTTTGGATAGGTCCAAGCCAACCAGTCAATGTTCAAGTTCAAGCCGTTTCTTCCGTTGCAATTCTTGTAAAGTGGGATGCACCAGCTCACCCTAATGGAGAAATAAAAGAGTATATAATATTTTATGGAACCAGCGAGGATGTACAGAAAAATGAGCGAAAAGTAACTGGAAGCACGCGGAAACGTACTATAGATGGCTTGAACAAATATACTACTTACTATGTGAAAGTCAGGGGTAGTGCCTCGAAACCAGGAAATGCTTCTGAAATATTCAGTGTTACAACTCTCGAAGATAGTAAGTAAATACTAATGGTTCAAGTATTTCAAGTGTTAATTGAATTCCGGGAAACGTCTTTTAGACCTTTTTACCTGATTGTTCATGTTGTAAAGCGCCAGACTTGCCGTGTGGGAAGTCGAAGGTCCAAGCCTCAGACCCGACCGACTCTCAGGGTGTTAAAATAACTGATAAGAATGTGCTTCCTTTGTTATGACGTCTGGAAATGGTTAGTCATTCTAGTTTTCTCAGAGGAGGACGAAAACCTGAACCTTAAAGAACGCACGCACGTCATACAAAGGGTAGTACCTAAAACTTTGTATTATTGATTCCACGATAATTTCGAAGTGGATGACGAAAATGACTGTTGCAAAATAGATAGTGGTTCGTTAAAAGCTCAGCAGTCGCCTTTAGCTCGTGGTTTACATCCTTTTCTCGTTCTCTCTCATCTTGCAAGCGTATTTACAACAATAAAATAAGAACTATGTCGCTTATATGACTAACTGTACGATCACTTGTTTGGTAGATCAAATGATTATTTTTGTTTATTCTAATTATTAATTTTATTCATTTRTGTGTTCATCCCAGGTCCTGGACCTCCAAAGGAGTTCAGGGCTCAGGTCGTAACCGCTAATGATGTTCATCTGACATGGCAGAAGCCTGATAATTCCAATGGAATTGTAAGGTTCTATTACATAAAGATCTACAATACTAAAACCGGCTTACAGTTCGGAAACCCTATCAACCAGAGCGCAGACGAGCGATCACACGTGCAGCACTACAACAGAGTGATACCAGACCTCAAGTACTATACAGACTACACGTTCACAATCCAGGCCGTCACAGTTAAACCTGGGGAAATGGCTAACGCTACAGCAAGAACAGAGGAAGGAGGTATTGAATGAACCTGGTCGATGGTTTTCTCTTTCCTCTAAATAAATGGAACAATTTTGTATATCAAGATCTTTAATATTGAAATCCAGGTCAACCGAAGAAACAG